CAAGGACCCACACAGCAGCAGTGACACTAATTCCCTTCCTCAGATGAAAGCTCACCTTTTCAAACAGTAAGACTCTGGGAGGGACCTGTGCTGTTCTTTTCCCAAAGTGTAGGCATTCTACACTTCTGCTCATATGGAAAAAGTAGGGACAGAGGTCAATGTGGATGCTCCAAACAGAAGCCCTAATAGAGAAGCGTGGTTCAAGGTGGTGACGCTGTCCGCCCTCAGGCCTGCTTGCTATCCCAGTACTTACAAGGCTGTAGGTTTTGCGGTGGTGGACAAAGTGCATCTGAATTCTGCCTGTGCGGACACATTTGCAACTGTGGCTTTGGCACCACAAGTGGAACCGACTCGACCTTGTCTCAGCCCGATGCCTCTCTCAAGCCTCAAAGGATAGATCAGGAAACCAATCCTCAGGTCATGGTTACTTTTAGCAGGGGAGACCTACTCAAAAATGCATCTAGATGACCCTGTTGACAGATGGTAAAGTGGGCTGGAGGATTCTCCACTGAGCACAAGGAGAACCAGTAAAGCTTCTGGCTTACAAAACAGTTTCAATGAGCAAAGTGCCACCAAAGCACTAAATGAACTCTGGGACACACACGATAGTGTGTTCACTCTCCCCTCCTCTGTTCTATCCCTTTTCCACCTTTGCTGTCCATGTAAAAGCAGTTCTGAAGCAGCACAAGGTTGTTTAATTTGTAACCCATCCCCTCTGCCTACTAAAAAAATATTCTACATAACTAATAGGGTCATTCAATCCCACATCTCGGAACCACAGACTCTGATGTTGAAGGAACACTTCTGGCAAAGTGCTCCTTAAACAGAAATATACAATCCCAGACTTCAGCATTTGGTTTTTGCCCAGTTCTCTCACACAAGGAACTCAGTAGAATTCATCGAAATCAAAATGTATATATTATAAACTCCACAACATCTAACCCCATGAGTATAAAATGGTTATAGATTAACTTGTCTGTATTCATATAATGGGGCAATATACACTTCTTTAAAAGTCCATTTTTCCTAGATACCAAATAAAATATTTTTAAAGTGCATGAATCCATCCATAAGGAAATAACTAGGAACAGTCTACTTTCAAGCTACTACCTTTTTCCATGTGTTATCTGAAGAGTATTTGCATATGAGTGTCCTGAGGGTGTGTCAGCAAGCGACAGATGAGAGGGAAGGCTTTTGAGGCAGCTGCACAGTCACCTTCACACTAATATGCACTTAGAGAGACAAGCCACTGAGGTCACAGTAGGAAGTAAGGGACATTAAGCTAGCTGTCTGAAAGATGGAGGCCAGCAGCCATTTCTGTGAAGATCTCTTAGGCAGCCCATGCCAAAGGGAACTAAACGGTACAACCTAAGTTTAAAAACTGGCAGTTTGAAATTTAAAAATACATGTGGGATGTAAGTGTATGCTTTTTTTGTTTACTGAAATTTTTTATAATATGATGCTGGAAGAAATAGCTGGTTGATCAAAAAAATCAGTAGCCCTACTATATATAGACAATAAAGGGGCTGAGAAAGAAATAAGAGAAAAATCAACCTTTACAATAGCCACAAAAACATAAAATATCTTGGAGTAACTCTAACCAAACAGGTGAAAGACCTGTATGACAAGAACTTTAAGTCATTAAGAAAAAAAAATTAAAGAAGATACCAGAAAATGGAAACATCTCCCATGCTCTTGGATAGGTAGATCAACATAGTAAAAATGGCAATCTTGCCAAAAGCAATCGACAGATTCAATGCAATCTCTATCAAAATCCCAGCACAATTCTACACAGATCCTTGAAAGGACAATATTCAACTTTATATGGAAAAACAAAAGACCCAGGATAGCCAAAACAACCTTGTTACAATAAAGGAACTTCAGGAGGCATCACCCTGACTTCAAGCTCTACTATAGAGCTATAGTAATAAAAACAGCTTGGTATTGGCACAAAAACAGACAGGTAAACCAATGGAATAGAATTGAAGACCCTGATATTAACCCACATAACTATGAACACCTGATCTTTTACAAAGCAGCTAAAACTATACAATGGAAAAAAGAAAGCATCTTCAACAAATGGTGCTAGCATAACTGGAGGCTGACATGTAGAAGACTGCAGATAGATCCATGTCTATCACCATGCACAAAACTTAAGTCCAAATGGATCAAAAATCTCAACATAAATCCAGCCACACTGAACCTCTTAGAAGAGAAAGTGGGAGGTACCCTTGAACGAATTGGCACAGGAGACCACTTCCTGAACATAATGCCAGTAGCACAGACAGTAAGATCAGCAATTAATAAACAGGACCTCTTGAAACTGAGAAGCTTCTGTAAGGCAAAACACACAGTCAACAAGACAAAACAGCTGCCCACAGAAATGGGAAAAGCTCTCCACCAACCCCACATCAGACAGAGGACTAATTTCCAAAATATACAAAGAACTCAAAAAGTTAGTCCCCAAAACACCAAATAATTCAATTTTAAAAAGTGGGGTACAGAACTAAACAGAGAATTCTCAATAGAAGAATCTAAAATGACTGAAAGATACTTAAGAAGTTGCTCAACATCCTTAGCCATCAGGGAAATGCAAATCAAAACAACTCTGAGATATCATCTTACATCCATCAGAATGACTAAAATCAAATATACCAGCAATAGTTTATGCTAGAGAGGATGTGGAGAAAGGGGAATGCTTCTCCATTGCTGGTGGGAGTGTAAACTTGTACAGCCACTTTGGAAATCAGTATGGTGGTTTCTCTGGAAAATGGGAACCAATCTACCTCAAGATCCAGCAATTCAGCTCTCAGGCAAATACACTCATACAACAAGGATATACACTCATACAACAAGGACATCTGTTCAACTATGTTTATAGCAGCATTATTTGTAATAGCCAGAACCTGGAAGCAACCTAAATGCCCCTCAACTGAAAAATTAATATAGAAAATGTGGTACATTTACACAATGGAGTACTACTCGGCGGGAAAAAAAAATGGAATCTTGAAATTTGCAGGCAAATAGATGGAACTAGAAGAAACTATCCTGAGTGAGGTAACCCAGTCACAGAAAGACAAACATGGCATGTACTCTCTCATATACAGATATTAGACATAGAGAAAAGGATTATCAGCCTACAATCCACACCTCCAGAGAAGCTAGGAAACACGGAGGACTGTAAGAGAGACATACACAGTCCCTCAGTGAAGTGGAAAGGGACAAGAGCCCCTGAACAAAAGGGGAGCATGGGGGAGGGGGGGAGGGAGGTAGGAGAAAGAGGAGGGAAGAAGAGAAGGGGAGAGGAGAACATGAGGGATCAGGAAGACTGAGTCAGGAGATGAACAGAGGAGAGCAAGAAAAGAGACACATCAATAGAGGGAGCCACCATAGGTTTAAAGAGAAATCTGGCACTAGGGACACGTACAAAGATCCACAATGATGACGCCAACTAGGAACCTAAGCACTACCTTAAATGCCCTTCCCCTATAATGAGAATAATGACTACCTTAAATACCATCCTAGAGCCTTCATCTAGTAGCTGATGGAAGCAGAAGCAGAAAATCACAGCTAAGCACTGAGCCAAACTCCTCGAATCCAGTTTCAGAGAGGGAGGAGTGACAAAAAAAGGGTCAATACCACGCTGGGAAAACCCAAAGAAACAACTGACTTAAGCAAGTGGGAACTCATGGACCCCAGTCTGACAGCTGGGGAACCAACTTGAGACCAAACCAGGCCCCCTGAACGTGGGTGTCAGCTAGGGAGCACTGGGCAGTCTATGGGGCCTCTGGCAGTGGAACCAGGATGTATCCCTAGTGCATGAGTAGACTTTGGGAGCCCATTTCCCATGGAGGGATGCTCTCTTAGCCTAGATACTTAGGGGAGGGTCTAGGCCCTGCCTCAAATGAATTAACAGATTTTGATGATCCCTCATGGAAGGCCTCAGCCTCCCTGGGGAGTGGATGGGGGATGGGATGGGGAGTGGGAAGCATGGGAGGGAGGGAGAGGGAACTGGGATTGATATGTAAAATAATATTGTTTCTAATTTAAATAAAATATAAAAAAGAAATAGCATGTTAGATATGTCTTTTTTAAAGTCCTGCCTCTTAATGAAGTAGTTAAAATAAGATGCACTAAAGAACTTTAAGAATTCATCAACTTTTGTGTAAAGAATCTCAATCTGCCCTCTTAAAAAACCCTTTCTTTCAACTGCATAGTTTTATTTGTGCTTTAGAGAGCAGGGTGAGGACAAAAGAAGACAATTTATTTCAATGTTTGGTTGTTGCAACTTGAACAGGAAGGGACCAATGAAGTGGTGCTTCTTAGAGCCTGTGAGGTATGTGTTCTCTGTAATTACCTGTGTTTTCAGTAAATAATACTTTGTCTCTCAAGTTCTCGTTGCAAAAATTTAGTATAGAATAGTGAATTCATCATACAGTGGACATGTCTTCTTTTAGCTATTTTATGTTCATGAGACAAAGAAACCCTGCTGAGGAAAAACCAGTAAGAAGTAACTGCTGCAGAATGACCAGCCAGTGACAGACAGGCACAGTAGAGGGATGAGAAGCACACAGACTTCCCTGGTACAAGAGAGCTGGAGTTCCAAGGAAATAAGCCGCCATGACCTCCAGATAAGAGCAAAAGACAAGACACAGCAAAGCCTCAATACTGTGGGGCACCCTGGGGCCTGACAGTGCCATTCTGAGAGCAGGCCAGGAGTTGGTCATAGGAAACCAGGAAAAGTAAGTGGGACTGTCACTGACTTGAAGATACCTCAAAAGCTTTTCTGCACAACCAGTGAAAGCATGAGTCTACTTCAACTCATCTGTCTGATGCTATGATAGCCAGAAAGTTTGTTTCACTGCCCAAATACTTTATTAATTTCTTGTATGTGGATTTCAGAACACAACTGAAAGGAGGAAATAATAGAGGTATGGTGCTGATTGGTGGCCAAGAGGCTATGGTAGTCCATAATCCTGCACTTAGCTTTCAGGTTTACCGAGGTACAGGATGCATTTCCTTTGTTCCTGATCACAGACCTCCTGGTAAGACCATGCTCTTGGAGTGATCGTTCCTGTAGGACAGAGGGGCTTGGTGCAAAGCAACCACACAATAAAGAAATGCGTCAAAGGAAACATCATGAGGAGGGTGTCAGAGGAGGAAAAGGATTTTGACATCTGATAATTGTGGTACTCGGCTATCACTGACTCGCTAGTCAGTTCCTTAAGTCAATCTCCAGTGCAGGGGCATCCGTCACACCCATTCCTCTCTGGGATGCTGAGATGGATCTACACTTGGACTAGCCTTCTCTGAAATGGCAGACTTGTCCCTCGGCATCACAGGGCTAACATGGGGGAAGGACATACACAATCATTTTTCAAGCCCTAAAACCATCTTTAACACCATAGTAGAGGTGGCCTTTAATGGCTCAGAGCAGATGGAAAGCTTCATGGGAAACAGATGGGAATTGCTTCAAAGGCAAACTGAAATGTGCTTTTAAAAACATAAATAAAGCAATAAATTAACCTAACTATTCAAAATTCAGAATGACAGACAACACAGAGAAAGAAACAAAGAGGTGCGGAAGATTGCAGAGGTCCACGCCTCATCGCTTGCCCTCTCCACCCGAAGCCCGAGCACCCGGTGCTCTGTGGCCACCCACTGCAACATGACAACATTGTGTGGCTGCGGAGCCTCAGGATGAACAGAGTGTGAGAGGCTGGCGTTGCAGGCTTTGGTCAGGTAAGGAGCACACACAGTCAGCAGCAACAGCAAAATTCAATGATTACTTTCCCCAAGGACTCTGAACACCAAACGTTTACATCCTCAGCATAATAAACACAAACCCAGAATCACTACAAATCTAATTGGGTTTCACTGTATTTTGGCTCCAAAGCAAAATTTCTAAGTAATACCCCTAGCCTAAAGGGGGGTAGGAGGCACGCCATGAGACGATGGCTGGTACTTGACTTCCAAAGGGGCAGCTTCTGAGATGACTCAGTGCCTACCTCCACCCGCTCTTCAACAACTCCCAGCACCCTTAGTAAGGGAGAGAGCTCTGGAGACAGGAAGTGATGGAGACCACTTTAGTCGCAGCAGATCTTAGGACACTGATCACCCTTGCCATTGCTTGGAAGTTCTTGCTACACGGCAGAAACAGAGACTTGGTACAGAGAAAGGAGGAAGGTCTACTCATCAGGGATAATTATCCATCCAAGGCAGTGAGGGCTCCCAGCCTGAGCTAGAGACTAGGAATACCCAGCAGGTGGGAATATGGCAGTGCTGAGAGGCTGGATGGAGCATTCTCCAGCCAGAGTATTGGGCTCTTTCATAGACAGTGTGCTTTTCCCTCTTCTGGCACCTCGAAATGAAAGAGGGTAGGCGCTGCTGCGTACATCGGCATTACAGGCTCGGGGGAAGAGTGGGCGGCAACCTGAATGACAAGCTTTACCAGCGTGAACCAACAAAAGACATCCTCTACTTCATTTTAGGCCTTTGCCTGATAGCGGCCTTCTGAGAGGGTTTTTGCTGGAGTCTGAAACAAGAGTGAGAGTCGGGGACCACAGGACAGGAGCACTACACCACCACCTGCAGAAGCCAAGAAAGGGGGAAGCTACATGGAATCAAGAGTCAGGCATGCCAGGCAGGGCACGAGGCTTAGGAGCCTCACACAGAACGTTAGGCCTGCTCACAGACAAGAGGCACCATCTGGCAGCCTGCTTCAGCCAGCAAACACAGCCTGCCCTAGCCTAGCATCCTTCAGCTAGTATAGTAGATGTGGAAGTACAGAGTCTTGTTGCGGAGCAGGGAGTACGAGTTGTCAAACTTGAGCAAGTAGATGCCCTCCCCAGGGTAGTCATGGCTGCCAGCTTGCACATCTCGGTGGCTGTCCCTCCGGTACACAGGCATGACCTCCCCATAGCGACCCCGTAGAGAACTTCTGGAGCCTCTCTCCACATCCCCCAAAGGGACGGGTTCTGTAGGAGCAAAAGGTCAGAGTTTAGATACGATTCTATAGCCTGAATACATACTGCCTGAAGGTGAGAGAGTGATTCTCAAATGGGGACTCTATTGTCCTCCCTCAGGCACTACAAAAGTTCACACATCTTCCTGGCCATGATGACAACAGAATGAAACTGGCATTCAGTAGCCCAGAGGCCAAGAGTCTCAGTAAGCAGTAGTGCTTCCTCTGAGAAGCCATGATCTAACCTGATAACCTTAGACATACCTGGTTTCCAAAGGTAAAAGTTATTTAGACAACAAACCTGGAAATACTTACAGTACATTAAAGGAATAGCTAACAGAAATAGCAGATATAAATAAACACAACGTTCAGGGTAACTCTAAAACTTCCCCTTGGCATCCTGAAAAATAGCAAATAAGATAAAAGACCCCTGTGGCCCCCTTTCCTAAATACACATAGATTTACTGATAGACTTGAAAAAGCAAATGAAAAGAATGATTTGTGGTCATACATAAAGCCATGGGATATTACAAACACTTAGAGCTAGATTCCTCCCTATATGTCCCATCATGAGTAGACACAACAAATAACAAGAACGGAGCAGAGAGGGGCTGGTGCAATGGCTCAATGGTTAAGAGCACTGGCTGCTCTTCCAGAGGATCCAGGTTTGATTCCCAGCACCCACACCTTGGCTCACAACTATCTGTAACTCCAGTTCCAGGAGATCTGACTCCCTCTTCTGAACTCTACAGGCACCAGGCACATACACGGTGCACAGACATACAAGCAGGCCAAACATGCACATAAAATACGACAATAAAAAAGTTTAAAGCCAGGTGCTGGTGGCACACGCCTTTAATCCCAGCACTCAAGAGGCAGAGGGAGGAGAATCTCTGTGAGTTCAATGCCAGCCTGGTCTACAGAAAGATTTCCAGGACAGCCAGGGCTAAACAGAGAAAACCTGTCTTGAAAAACAAAAATTTTTAAAAAGAACGGAGCACAGAACATTACTCATAACATGAAGCAAAGAATTTGTATTCTGGAAAAAAAAAGAATTTGTATTCTGCCAGCAATGGCAGTATGGAGGAAAGGGGAGGGGTACCTCTAGCTTATTATAACTACTGAGTGTGACTTGAAGTCAAGAATATTCCAACACAAACAGAGAAAAAATATATAATCTCAAGTTCCAACATGATCTGACAAACCCTGCTGCCCATACACATACACACACACACAGAAAGAGAGAGAGAGAGAGAGAGAGAGAGAGAGAGAGAGAGAGAGAGAGAGAGAGAGAGAGAGAGAGAGAGAATGGGGAAATAACTGTACTTGCTAAAAGTGAGAGAGAAAGGAAGAGCAGGAAGAGGGTGATGGGGAGGCCAAGGGGGGGGACTTTCCATCAAAGCATCAGTACCAATCCCAGCAGTTTGCAATGCTGGGTTTCTGATGGCGAGGAGAAATGCTATAATCCGCAAAGCAGCTGCTAGCAATTAGGCTGAACAAACAGAATTACAATTAAATTTACCTTCTAGCTCCTCCTCTTCTTCCTCTTCGTCATCCTCATCCTCGCTAGAGTCACTGACCTGCACAGTTATATCAGTGCTGGTCACTGGGGTCCAGTCAAAATAAACTCCAAAACCAATATCATAGTCATCAGTTGCAAATTCCCAGCAGACGCGCTTTCCCTCGGGATGCGTGGGGACCCGGATGGTGACGACTTCGCCCCGCTTCACCACCAGGCGGCTGTTCTTCTCTTTGCCCAGCTTGCTTTTGAATTCCTTCACTTTGGCAAAGGTCCAGATGCACGGAGGAGCCATCAGAGGCGGAGAGACTGAAAGGACAGACAGCTTACTGCTGAGAAGCAGGGAAACGCTCCTGGACCTGGATTTTTGCTAGCAAGGTTAACATACTACATTCTTCCTAACGGCTTCATCACTCCCTTCACAACTTTGCCTGGCCTTCCATCCTTCAAGCATCTACTGGAAATAAAAAAGCCCTCTTCTATGATTGCAAAGGTCTCACCTTTCCTGTGGTCCCCCAGAAGATCTGTGGATTCCAAATCCGCTGAAAGGACATCTACAGCTCCAGTATGCTCAGACTGGATCATGACCATGTCTCCCGGTCGTTGTGGAGGGTGGTACTTGGCCATCTGCACAACAGAATTCTGGTTATAGGACTTGATTTCCAATCAGCCTCTTTGCAAATGCAGGATGCCCCACTCCTCCCAGATACCAAAAGTTTCCACCAAGTACACGTCATCCCAAAATTCTTCTTTTTAACATCACCAAAGTGTCCCTGAAAGATTCTTTTATTCCCTGTCTCAAAACTTTAGAAAAGATTTTTCTTCTCCAAAACCTCTGCAAAATCTCCCCCACAAATATCCTCGGGGCTTGCTATGGGCCAACATCAGAAGGATTTCTGGGTCATGCCTTGGTCTTGTCTCAACCTTCACTGCACCTCCCAGTGGCTCCTCTCGTGACACTCCCACTTGGAGGTCCGCTATACACTCGCGCTCTGCCACACTTGCCCAGCTACACAGGTGGCTTCTATATCAAAGGATCACTTTTCTACCAAAAGCATCACAGAGAGTATGTGGTTTCTGATTTTCTTCTCGTCCTTACATTCCACTTTCCATTCCTCTGTATCCAGTGTCTCCCTTACTCACACCTCAGGTTATAAGCTGTCTCCCTCTGTATTTTACTAGCAATGTTCTTGAAGACTGCTCGTGTGTATGCAAGTGTGTGTGTGTGTGTGTGTGTGTGTAAGAGAGAGAGAGAGAGAGAGAGAGAGAGTTGTCATGTATAAATGGTACCTGGTACCTGCAGAGGACAGAAGAGGACATGGGCTACCTTGGAGCTAGAGTTACAGGCAGTTGTGAGTCACCTGACATGAGTGCTGGGAACCAAACTCAGGCCCTCTGGAAAAGCAGCAAGTGCTCCTAACTGCTGAACCAGGCAATCATCTCTCCAGCCCCACAATGATCTCTTGACAATCACAATTTCATTTTAAACCAGCCATAGGACTTCCATTTGAACAGTACATCTGCTGCCTGATATCTGGCTTGCATAAAAGAATAACAAATGGCATTTGATACAAAAAGCCCTCACTAACCCACACTGAAGTCTGCAATCTTCAGACTCTAGAGGGATTTCCCTCCACATCACTACATGGTGTTCCTTGTTTCGTGTTATTATGCCTTTATTTTCTGCTCCTTTCCCCAGCCAGTAGGCAACTCAACAAGAAATCTATCCCTACTGCTCACAGGAGAGAGCGTGTCAGTGAGTCAGCAAGCCAGTTAAGAAGCTTGAATTGTACTTGTGCAAATAAATCAAGTTTGTAACCCTTCCAGGCTGTGTTCTCACAAGACCTGTTTTGAGACGGAGCCCTTCCATCCTTATCCACACAACTAAGTAAATCAAACCAGACCCTGGCTATCGTGTTTACCAGAAACCCTTCCTTTTATGTCATGGATTTAATTTGCAACTTATTCAACAGCAGTCTTAGTAAAGCTTTTAGCCTTAGTTTCCACAGCTGCTAAATGGGGACATAGTGCTGTTTATCTCACAAGCCTGTGAGCAACAGTAAATGAAGTTTGTAGACAAAATTCATATAAATTACCAAACATTATGCAAAAGGTTAAATGTTTAATGTCTTTATTGACACAAATTCTAACTATTACATCATTACCAATGAAAATAATAACATAAACCATCCCAACCTGCCTGGCCTCTGTGTCAAAGGAATCACTAGATACTAACACCACTCCTATAGACTCTACATAAATACAGAATGGACCTTCATAGTTCAGATAAAACAGTCAACACTGCTCACATCAAGATTCTAGAGAACATGAGACATCATCCGTTGTGACACTTCATTTTTTGTATGCTAACACAATGGCAGGCTGTGTAAAGAGACAGATAATTAATTCTCCAAATAATTAGAATTGAGACGCCCCCCAGGGTTGCCCAACTCATGTCCCCTGGAATGCATGAAGCACAAAGTTACTTAAGACACTGAGGTTTCAATTTTTTCCTGTAACTCAATCATGCAGTTCTCAAGTGTGAACTTTACAGATGATGACTTGTCACAATGTCAGAAGGTTGGACATGCCTGCTGGGAGTGACAGGGAATTCTGAGAGCTTTCATCTCAGGAGTGCCAGTTCCAATCCATCCACTATGTGCCTAAGTTGGGTGCCAGGAGCTCCCATTTTCCTAAGAGAGCATGAATACTCCCCTACCTCACTGTGCACCTGAGCCTGGCCTGCTGGCAGCAACTCGCGCTCCCCCGGAGCCTGACCCTCTGAAGCACCAGCCGCTTTCTGTAGATCTTCCGTGGTATCCTTACTCGCTGGAGATACCATCTGTGGCCTCTCAGAAGAAGAAAACATGTCAGTTCAAGGGGTCTGAAGAAGCACAATCATTCCTGAGGAACTCTGAAATACAACAACATTCAAAAGACATCCACTCCTCCTGACTTCTGTATTTAGGTCCATGTCACTTCAGCTGACCACTGCCCAGAGTTGACTGGCTCACAGTAAGGGCACAGCAATAGACAAAGCCAGTCCCCAGGCTCCTGAGCCACAGTAAACACAGCTCAGCCATCAGATGGACTCAGGGTCCAGTCTTCTTTGTTGCTATGTTTTGTTTACTTAATTGACAAATTTAAAATGTGCATGTCTGTGGCAAACAGTATGATGCTGTGATATATGTAGATACTGTGAAATGACCAAATGAGGCTAATTAACATATTCTTATTGTGCCAGCAGCTCCCACTCCACTATGTGCCAACTCCTGGTAATTACCATTCTGCTCTCTCCTTTTAAAGTGTGTGTGTGTGTGTGAGAGGGAGGGGGGGGGAGAGAGGGGGAGGGGGGAGGGACAGAGACAGAGAGAGAATGTGAGGATGTGTGTACACAGAGGCACCTGTGCTCATATGGAGATCAGAAGAGGGCATCAGATCCCTGAGAGCAGAAATTAAAGCAATTGCAGGATGCCTGGCCTGCTGCCAGTACTGGGAACCAAACTCCAGTCTCCATGACTGTGTACCAAGCACGCTTAACCACTGAGCCATCTCTGCAGCCTGGCTGCTCTCTTCTCCTATGGGTCTAGTTTTAGTCCTCTCCCAGTATTTGTTCCAACCAGAATATCAATAAATGGTTTGAATCCCCAGTTGGTTCTACACAAGTCACACAGGGATGAGGGTGCCTAAGGCAGAGACTGGCCACTGAACAGAAAGGTCTGCTGATTAATCACAAGGATATACAGGTAATTAACAACTGCTGTGAGGCGGTGAGACTTTTTCTCCAGTGATGTAGCCATCCATAAGTTTCCCATGCTCCATGTTCCAATTAAACTGGGTGATTCACCAAGCTACACTTGGGTGGAACTGAGTGTGTCCTTGGTGTCCTACATGAGGTGAGTAGCTGGGTTTGCTCATGTCTCCCTAGGAAAATTTAATGGAACAGAGGATGAGTTACCCTGCCTTCCACATCCCCTGGCTTCAGAGACACTAGAAAATGAGCAAAGAGCAGGGTAGAAACACAATCCCCCAGACCTTCTGAGATCTAACGCCAATAAAAGGTGACGGGAATTTTATTTTTAAAGCAGGAGTTATAAACACACGGTCTGGAGACCCATGTAGGACTTAAAACCCTTCAGGGGTGTCTAACACTTTAAAACCTTTCCAGACTATTATTAAAATACCATTTTCTTTTCTGCATCTTCTGAAGTAGGCAGAAGAATTTTCCAGAGACTCCATGACATGTGACAATATTGTAGAGTGAATCAAGCAGAGGTGGAAATTCAACTGTCTTTTATTAAACCAGACATTAAAGGGATTTACACTCTTACTGTGCTATCTTTGCTTTAGAAGTTGACTGTTTTTTCATTAAAGACATTATTTATACTAATGTGTACTAAGCTAATTACTGTTTTCAAGTGAGTAAAATAACATAATTTTCAGCCTTAATTTTTAATACAATTTTTAAAAATTTGGATATTTTGTATTAATACTCTCTCAGCCTAGATACACAGAGGAGGGTCTAGGTCCTGCCCCAATGATGTGACAGACTTTGATGATCCCCCATGGGAGGCCTCACCCTCCCTGAGGAGTGGATGGGGGGATGGGAAGGGTGGGGGAATGGGAGGATGGGAGGGAGAGGGAACTGGGATTGGCATGTAAAATAAGATTGTCTTTAATTTAAATAAAATTAATTTTAAAAAAGAAAATAAAACTAAAAGTAAAAATTTGGAGACCTTTTAAAACAATGTTTCTCTGTAGCCCACACCAACCACCTGCCTGTAATGATCCCACTGCCTCAGTCTCCTGAATGCTAGGGTGGCAGGTGTGAGCCACCATACTCAGATCTAATGTATTGGCATGAATAAAAATTCTTTGAGGTCTTCACTAGTCATTCAAAGTGTAAACATCTGAAACTTCCTGCTTTTAGTTTATCAGTACCATTGTTTTCCTTGGCAGCATAAATAAAATTCATTTTTAATTTATAGATTATCTCTTCTTCAAATAAAGATAGCCATCTTTTAGGATAGCCACGTCATGCCAGACCACCTCAGAACAACTGAGAATAGTGAGGAGTCCAAACCAGGTTTGCAGAAAATCATCTAGTATACATGGTTACAAACCCAGAAACTTCAGTCCACTTTGGTTTGTTGTCATCTCTTCACTAGGAGGCAAGCTGCATGCTGGGAACTGGGTCTTACTCCCTCTGTGTGCCTGACACCTCAAACCAACTCCCAGGACCTCTGAACTCTGACCTTATCTCCTGGATTTCCACTTTGCCCAAGTCACTCACCAACAGTACTGCTTGGATCATTGCTATACCTCAAGCTCACTGCTGCTTGGGAACCTCTGCCCATATTAGTAATAATAATAATACAGTTGTCACAGGTGAAGGCCACTGATGAAACATGTTATACACTTGTTTTTCTGCCTGCCATCCTCACTAGGGTGTAAGATCCGTTACAACAGTACCCTGGACTATTGTGTTCATCTTCAGTATTTTTGGTACCTAGAAGTATCCCGGGTATAACAAATGCTAAACAAATGTCTATTGAATGAATAAATAGTAGTTATTGCCACATTACTTGTTGAAATATTAAAAGTCGTACTAGTTCTTGTTTGAAAACAGCAGTCATTTGGATCACACTATCTATTTGTAATTAGGAAAGCTGAGACTATCAGAGGTCATCAGAATTATTAATCCAATGTTACTATATGTGACATCTAAAACCCTTAAGCCTTTGTGTATGCTACTTGGAACAGGCACAGTTTTGCATACGAAATATTCTAAGCTTTTGTTTTATGTATGCATGTGTTTGTTTATTTATGTCTGTGGTCTATGTAAGTACATATGCATATGTTGTGTAGGTGCACATCCTTGTGTGTGTGCAGAGGGAATAGTGTCAGATAGCCTCCTCCATCACTCTCTCTATTCCTTTGAAGCATAGTCTCTCCCTGAAGCCTGGATTCACATTTCAGCTAGGCAGGAGGTCTTTGGACCTCCTGTCACTGCTTCCCTTGGAGCTAGGGTTACAGGTATTTGCAGAAATGCCCAGACTGTTATGTGGCTGCTGGGACCTAAACTCTGGTCCTCTTGATTATAGAGCAAGCAAGTGCTCTGAACCACTTAATCCTCTTTCTAGTACCAATTAAAAATATTTAATATTCACATTAGCATTTTATGCTCCAGAGAATTAGCTAAAGGTATTTTTCAAAAGAGAAGTGGCCCATCAGTTGATACCAATAGTAGACCATGTCAAAATAAAACGAACCAAAAAAATTGAAAGTCAATTAAGTCTTCTGGCTTATACTGGCCCAGAGCAAGGACACTAGCCTGAAGGATGGGAAAACCTGGCCAAACAGCCAGCCTCACTAGGAAAGCCAGGAAGCTGTGTTGTTTTCAGTTTCCAACAGACACAAAGCAGATGCTGGGCTCCTGGGATCAAGTGCACCAGAGCTTCCTCACTAAATTCATAAACAAAATGTTGCAATTAAATCATGTTGTTCAAGAATGTTCTGTTTCTTACTCAAGAAACTGACTTTTAGGAGGATTAAACAGTTCTGTACTCCAGACCCATCCTACAATATGTGCACAAGCAGACAGGGACAGGAGATGAAAAGTCCCTCACCTTAGGGCATGTCAAGAACATGAATTATTGTCATCAAAACCTTGAGATGGCTCAGAGCTTAAGAACACTGGCTGCTCTCACAGAGGACCCAGGTTTGAGTCCCAGAACTCACACAGTGGCTCAGATCTGCCTATGACTCCAGTCCCAGGGGCTCCAATACCCTCTTCTTGCCCCTGTGGGCATTAGGCATGCTTATGGTGCACAGATAAACATGCAGGCAAAACATCCATATACATAAAAGGGAAACAATCTTGAGGAAGATTTCTGTATATAACACAGCCTTTCTAAGCACAGAACTTAAACTGTCTACTATCAGTTATGACAACCAGCTATAGCTATGGGAACATGTGCCATGACTTTACTATTTCACTTTTAACAGCAGGGAAGGGTACCTATTTCGTTAGGGTTATAAGGATTGAAGAGTTAATGTAGTTTAAACCTGGATGATATGACAGACTTTGGAGATCCCCCATGGAGGGCCTCTCCCTCCCTGGGGAGCAGAGGGGGCATGGGATAGGGGGTAGGAGGTTAGGGGCAGGGAAGGAGGGGAAGAAGAGGGAGCTGGGATTGACATGTGAAGCAAGCTTGTTTCTAATTTATATAAAAAATTTAGTTTAAACTACATGATTTAGCAAACAGAACTATTTAATAAAACATCACTTTGTCTATTAATTGAGAAACATTCAAATAAAGCATGGTTATTTATTATATCACCAACTGCGTTATAAATTATTTCTGATACAAAAGAAATATTTCAGATACAACTCAAGAAGTACTCGATGTTTAAAAATACCTCAATGCTTGTTTTTATTCCCAGCCGCGGTTTGCATGGGGCATGGAGACCACAGGTTCTACCAGACAGTGCGGTATAGGAACTGAGTAACTAGAGTATGGTACTGAAGGCAGACTTCTGTACTCCACTAGTGACTTATGCCTTCCTCTCACAAAAGACTCGGTAAAAATCTTCCCTTTGTGCTACACACACACACACACACACACACACACACACACACACACACCAGTGATAATGATGAAATAGAGAGAAGAAAATTCTCTCCAGGGGCTGGAGAGATGGTTCGGCAGTTAAAAGCATTTGTGGTTCTTTCATAGGAACTCAGTCTGGGCACCAGCACCCAGGTCAGGCAGCTCACAACCACCAACAACTCTAGCTCCAGAGGATGTGAGTCCCTCTTCTGGCCCCTATAGGCATTAAACACACACATGTTAAACATACATACATGAAGGCACTCACACATACACATAAGATAAAAAGAAATAGATAATACAGAAAAAAATGACAACCTAAAGGCTATCATAATGGTTTAACCTGAACAAAAAAAAATCACATTAAAAAACTGCAATTTGAGCCGGGCGTTGGTGGCGCGCGCCTTTAATCCCAGCACTCGGGAGGCAGAGGCAGGCGGATCTCTGTGAGTTCGAGACCAGCCTGGTCTACCGAGTGAGTTCCAGGACAGCCTCCAAAGCCACAGAGAAACCCTGTCTCGAAAAAAACAAAACAAACAAACAAAAAAAAAAAACAAAAAAACCCTGTAATTTGTCTACCCCTTAAAGTCACTGCCTACTTTGTTGGACAGTTCCTTTATTCTCAGGGGACAAAACTTCCAGAAGCATTTATCCAAAGCAGTTGTTTGTCCCTACCTGTAGGGTGAGGACTGGGGTTCTGGATCAGAGGCAGAAGTCAGTGGAGAGCTGACTTTGGTGTTTTCCAGATCTTCTTTCTCTAGAAAGTCATGGAAAGAATTTGTTATTTGAAAGGAAACACTAACACACACCTGTAGTCCAGTTCTTGGGAGGCTGAGGCAGGAAAATCAGGAGTTCAAGTACAGCCTTAGCTACATAAAGAGTCTGAGGTCAGCCGGGCGGACCTGAAGCCCTGTCTAAATAAACACGTCATTGTATAAAACATGTCTATACCTCATCCTATATAAAAATCAATTCGGGGGGCTGGAGATGGCTCAAAGGTTAAAAGCCCTTGCTGCTCTTCCAAAGCACCTGGGTTTGGTTCCCAGCACCCAAATGGCAGGTCACAGCTGTCTGTAACTCCAGCTCCAGCACATCCGATGCCTTCTCCTTACCTCGGAGGACACATGAGGTGCACACACACACACACACACACGGGCATTAAAACACTTAAGATAAAAAAAAGTCTTTCCAGGAAATTCAAAGATCTTAGTATCAGATAAAAAAAAATTGAAATTGCTGGAGGAAGCATAGGGGAAACATTCAGGACACAGTCATGGGCAACAGTTTTCTGAAAGGACCCCAACAGCCCAGGGAAAACCAGCAAGAACTAACAAATAGAGTTGCAAGGAATTAAAAAGCTTCACACAGCAAAAGAAACAATTCTCAGAGTAAAGAGACAGTCTACCGAGAGGGGATCAATGTCAATAACATGAAATTAAACACATAGACACAAATAATCTAAATAGTACATGGGCAAATGAGCAGATAGTTCTCAAAACAAGAGGTACACATAGCCAATAAGTAGGGAAAAAATGCTCAACACCCCTAGCCATCAGAAAAATGAAATAGCTCAGAGGTTAAGAGCACTGGCTGTTCTTCCTGAGATCCTGAGTTCAATTCCCAGCAACCACATGGTGACTCACAACCATCTATATTAAGATCTGGTGCCTTCTTCTGGCATGCAGACATACATGCAGGCAGGACACTATATACATACATACATACATACATACATACATACATATATATATATTTTTTTTTTGCTGGACGGTGGTGGAAACCTCTAATCCCAGCACCCTGGAGGCAGACACAGGTGGATCTCTGAGTTTGAAGCCAGCCTGGCCTACTGAGTTCCAGGACAGCCTTCAAAGCTATAGAGAAACCCTGTCTTGGAAAAAAATTAAATAAATGCAAGTCTACAGCGAGATTTCATTTCTTCCAGGTTGGAGGGTGGAGGATTATGGGAATATAAAGCAATGAGGTCACTATGGAGCCTGAGCTTGAGTCTTCAAACAACTAAATAGAAGGGCCGGAGTGGTTAAGAACACTTGCTGCAAACTCAAAAGGACTGGAGCGCCCATATAACAAGCTAGGCCTGTAACTCTGTACACTTGTAACTCTGGCTCCAAGGAAGATGGAGGTAAGAGCACTGCTGGGACTTGTTGGCTTCCAGCCTAGCCAAGAAAATGAGAGCCCCGGGTTCAGGGAGAGCTCCTAACTCAAAAGAATAGGTAAAGCATAACGGAGAACACTGCCCTCTTCTGGTCTCCCCTCACATATGAGTGAGCTTATAGACACATAAGTAAATAAATAAACTAACTAACTAACTAAAAGCGGGGCTACCATATGATCTATAGATACCCACTACTGGGTAGCTAACCCACAAGAATCTAAGTCAGCACATTCTAGGGATATCTGCATACACATTTATTGCAAAGCTAAGCAAGTAATATAATTAGATAAATAACAAAAACATGATACACATACACATACAATTGATTTTTCTTCTTTCGTATGTATGTATGTACATGGATGTATCTGTGTATTCACTTGTGTGAACACATGCATGTGTGTGAACATCTTAAGTTAACATCAGATGTCTTCCTCGATTGTTCCCCACTGTTTACTGAAGGCCCTTGAATCATCTTTCTGGCTTACTCCTTGAGACTTTCCTGTACACACAGTTGGGAGCATTTACACATTATTCCCTATTCTAAGCCTCTCTACTTAAAGCCCCAAGACTGCTTCCTAAAATTAAAAAAAATAAAATAAAAATAAAAGGGATGCAACAAGTATGCCTCAAACACTGAGATTGTAGCAATGTAAAACTGGAGACAAGGGTAAGTGTTTATGACCTAACCTTGACCCACTTTCTACTTCTCTATGATAGGATCTATTGAGGAGTCTGTCCATCCATGTTGGATTCCCCTCCACCCATCCCCCAATTTCTGCCAGACAAGGCTTCTCTGTGTAACAGCTCTAGTTGTCCTGGAACTCACGCTGTAGACCAAGCAGGCCTCAAACTCCCAAAGATCCACCTGACTCTGCCTCCCAAGTGTTATGATTAAAGGCGTGCACCACCATGTCCCGCAGATCTATTGTTTTTAATGAGGGGCGATCTCATCTGTAGAAAGACTGTAGTGCTCGGGTCGCCCCGCCTTCCTCCCAATAAAGGAACTGGTGTAAGACCTCGCCTGCTGCTCCCATCTGCAGCAGAGGCCATCCCACTGAGACATAACACGCTTAACTTTCTCCCCTGGGTTCATTTCGAGGCTGCTTCCTAATGAGTCCTGTTCAAATATCTGCACTGCCCCCCATCCTTCCCCCAGGCAACCACTTCTACTCAGGTGGCCTCTGACCACGTGGTCTGGTTTCCCACTGTTTCACTCAAACGAAGGTGCTGAAACAACTCCCCCACTGCGTCTCCTAACCTGTGGAGGACATTTCTGAGAATAACACTATCCAGACACTACATTTGTTTTAACTACAAATTTACCCTGTTGGTCTAAATACATCAATCAGGTTTCCCTTGACTTCTAAATATAAACTTTTTCTAAGCCTACTCCCTCTTATTCTCTATTTTTGAGACAGACTTTTGGAAAATAATAGAATTTTAAAATTAAATCCAGACTTTACACATCCATACTTTTATTCCAAATTAACTTTTTAAAATCGTATTTCTAAATAAAATAAAGACTAAAAAAATCTATTCACCTTTATATACTTTTTTCTTTAAAACCTTTTAATATACTTTAGAAAAGTTGAAACATACAGATAAGCAAAATAACCACAAAGCAACACAAATTAAGCATAACTCTACTAAACCAAGACAACTACTGTTAACTATTTGATGTATATCATTTCAGAAGTGTATTCACACAAATAAACAGGTTTCTCTCTCTCTCCATATATATATACATATATATATATGTCTATATGTGCACATCCATTATGCATCTACTCCTAAAAGGCATGCATCAAATGTTAATGAACATTTTCATGAACTTGTTTTTCAGTTGATAAAAAAAAAATTATATAGCTGGTGGTAGTGCATGCCTTTAACTCCAGCACTCAAGGCAGGCAAATCTCTGTGATTTTGAGGCCAGTTTGGTCTACAAAGCCAGTTCCAGGACAGGCAGAGCTGTTACACAGAGAAACCCTGTCTAGAAAAAACAAAAAGAAAAAAAGATGAGGGGGGATATATCATTGTTTTAAATGGATGTATCTTTTATCTAGTGGCTTTGGCAAGTATCCATGACCAGTGTCTGAAAGTGTCTAATTCCATTAGAAGCAGAAAATGCTTTTTCCAATTGTAGCACTTTGTGTGTGTATCAGTAGGAATTCTACCAGAAAAAGATTCACACCATGCATTACATGGCTACCTTAGGAGCCTCGTAAAAGGAAGGCAGAGCTGGGTGTGCCGACACATCCAGTAGGCTAAGGATCTTGAACTCAAGGCCAGTCTGGGCTACACAGTGAGACCTTGCTCAGAAACAATGGTAAAAATAGCCAAAGGGAGAGAGAAAGAGCAGCAGCTAAAGGCCGCACAAGGGTTACTTCTACACCAATTGGCAAAACTACTAGAAACAGGTGAGCAATGACTATTAAGTGTCTTTAAGGCACATACTTGAACGTCTTTCTGTTTCCCACGTTCCCAGCCTTGTCCTATGATAGCTCCTTAGAGTTGGCTCCTGTGTCCCTTCAGTAGGACCCAGAGTTGTGCTCACCACTCAAGTGCCAGGCTCATGGCACCATGTCCAAGGAGCACCAGTTCTTCATGGGATGCTCAGGAATGAGAAGACTGCATTGGCACAGGAGTGCACTGTGGGTCAAAGAATGAGTTTGTTCCCCTGCCCCAACTGCGGTATCACCTGTTCTTTTGTCCTTCAGCCTGTGGCCATGAGCAAGAAGGCCCTTGCTGGATGTGACCTTGGATTTCCCAGGCTCTACGACAAGGAATAGAGCCTTGTTCGATATAAAGTATCTAATCTCAGACTGAGGAAGGCAGAATGTTTGCCCAGCATGAACCAGGCCCTGGATTCAACCCTAGCATTGCCGGAGGGGGTGGGGGAGATTTAAGGATACAGCTCAACAGTAGAGTCCTATGTCTGAACTAGATTACATTTTGAATGCTGAAAAAAAAATAAGTATAAATTATCCAGTCCTGTTACAGTGGCACAAAACGGACTAAGATATACATGAAGGCATACACATCACACTGTTTATAAGAGCTGCATTCAGATGTATGAACTACCTAGGCTGAAGGTAGTAAAAGGCGAGAAATGGGAATCGACAGGACACAGCTATACTTGTATCAGATAAAATGGATTCAAGATGGACACGGTGATGCACTCCTGTAATCCCATCATTTGGGAGGCTGAGAACTGTTTAAGCTCAACACCAGCCTGGGTCACAACAGCAAGACCTTGTCTCAAAAAACCCACAAGACCCTCTTTGCCCCTGCATACAGAGCCAGGGTACTGCCTGCCAGGCCTGCAGGGGTGGGTACGATGCCAGGTCTCCAATGGGTGGGGCCAGGTGTGCCTGGATTACAACCTATAAAAGTAAAAGCAATCAAACAAACACGCACATGTATATACATATCAGGCCAAAAAGTATCACAAGAGACAATCAAGACTATTATTTAATGGCACGAGGTCAATCATTCATGAGAACATACTAACTCAGAAAGCTGAGGCAGGAGAATCAGGAGTTTGGGGCTAGTCTAAGCTTCATAGGGTGACCTGCCTCGAAAAG